TGCACGAAGCTACATATATATTTTTGTGCATTATCGAAACAGCATGCTTTTAATGTGTTTACCGCTGCCTGTATGTTCTTTTCGCAGTATTTTGCAAAGTGAGCCCGTCTGTATACAAATGACACATAATCTAACATATTTTTTGCCTTATGAGTAATAATTATACGTATACTAACAATGGCATAGTTGGGTGATATTTATCTACTAATTATGATACTAATAGTAGTGGGAGCACAAATGTAACCTTTATTGTCGTGATGCTAATACGCATTTCCGAGGCTACTACCGTCGCTATTACGAGTACTAATAATTGTGCACATCGTACGCATGTATTTGCCTGTGAATGTTTGTGTATACATGTCTGAGTGTCTTTGTGCCTGTATATGTTCACATGTATATATTTTGTCCATATATATTACCGCTTTGCGAGCTCCTCCCTGTGTGGCGTGCGCATTTTGTAGGTCGTGTATATGTGCGCGGCACAAACGTTGCGCATTAAAAAATAACCAGCATTTATTGGGAAGGAAGCCAAGACAAACATTTCTTTTAAACTTACAGTAGGAAGGGCAAAGTAGAGTTGGAAACTTTCCTATATATTCAACAATTAGCAGAAAACGTACACAAATGTTTGTCTCGCACACACACCCACGAGATACATCCGACCCGGGTGGATTTTCCTTCTTAACTTCCGGATGGCGAGACAGGTTCATCGATACGTTCGCTACTACATACTTTTTCGCACATGTTTTTTGTCTAGGTTAATCTGAACCTAGTAGTCGACACACGAGACATCTATAAACGGTAATCGTTCCTACGCAATGATGTTGGTCAAGAAGCGATCGGATTGCATCTATTTTACCCCATCTCTACCTTCTATCTAAGCGGTTTTATTTCAAATTGCGTTTCACCACTTCAAACGCGATTAAATCTATCCAAGATGCTGTCTTTCCCGAGTTGCCTCGAGTACTCTCCAAAATCTGAGAGACAACTTCAGCTACAACTCGATTTCATTATTCGCTCTCTTTAGCGCAGCCCAGCTCAACTCCGCCGCGCGCCAGATATATGCTTCAATATATGTCCTGAGGATCAGTACAGTCTGTCAACAATATAACGTTGAGCTACCAGTGTTACGAAATTAATCAGCGATTATAACGGTCGCCGATGCGGCGGAATCTTCAGACTTCGTGGAGGCGGCTTGATCACGAGTTTCGCAGTCGGTAAGCCCCTTGCCACCAGTTCCGCTTGAGCTCTCCTTTTCGGTGTCACTTCGTTCTTGCAATTGGCTCGATGGTGCAGCAAGGTCAACTTCGCCGCCCTCTTCGTCGCTGTCATCAGGGCCAATTGGGATAATGTTCGCCTTCGGTATCTCATCATCAGCGATCTCATCCACCTTGTTAGTACAACGTCAAAATACATCATAAAAAATTTTATCTTAGTAAATTAAACCTACTGATAAATGCATTGCTGGAAAGTCAATGATATTAATGATGATAGCTGCAGAACTTCTGGTACTGTTGCACCCGATATTTGTAGTGTGTACTCCATGTCAGTTACTGTGAGACGCATACCGCACGAATCATTTTTTCTCTTACGAGACAATTATGAGGCATACGCAGAGCGAAAAATACAGTCGTCCATACGATACCCAAAATCTAAACGTTTTGATACTGTTTTCTTTTAAAACTAGTAACACCTACTTTATCTGTTGGCGAGGATTTCTTTGCAATTTCACCCTGATTGACTGTAGAAATTAGATCACCTCCAGACACCGAAGTCGTACTTTCGCCATTCACTTTGGGACTAGACAACTTGTCGCCGGCCCCGTTAACTTTACCAGATGCTCCTCCCTCATCCCTCAATCGCGCTCCACCTTGATCTTTTCCTCCGGTTCCGCTGCCGACAGGGGTTGACGAGGCGTTTACTTGATCTTCCGATTTGGTTCTATTGCTGTCTCCAGGTTGAGAGTCTTCTACGGTACAAGCGCCATTGAGAGATACCGGAGTGATTGACACAACAGCTGGCTCAACGGACGTAGCGGCCGACTCTGCCAAAATAAAGTAAAAAATAAAAAAGCCATTAACTATCATTATCACATGTCTTTTAGTCATTAGTCATAAAATGTCGTTCATAAATAAAATGCAAAGGTAAGCTTAGCTAACATACGTCGAGGTCACAGGACAGTAACTTGTTTGATCCGAACTATTTTAATAGCATAAGGTTACATTTGCATTGCAAAAATGTATGCACAAGCTTTCACGAAAATATTCAAAAATTAATGATATTATAACCTAACAAATCTGATGATTACATAGCACTAATCTAGGTAACAGGCATGAGAGCAAAAGGAAGAAACGCATTAAGAAAATTACATTTCAAAAATTGTTAAAACAAAATAAAAGTTTTAAGTTTTACATCTGGTATTTCCTTTAAGCATTGCTTCAAATGATTGACCCTTTCCAGAACAAAGTTAGTGCGTCTACGCCGGGTTCACTCAACAGGAGTTGTTTATCTGGCGCTTACCTTGCGGAGCACTTTTCTCAACCACTACTGCTACTACTGCCGCTGCTCCTGCTACTGCACCACGACTCGTCGAATCATCGGCCATAATTTCATTTCGATGCGGTTGCAAAGGTGCTAATGTAAGATCAACAGCCGCTCCATCTCGAGATTGCTGATGTTGCGGTTGTTGTTGTAGCCGCTGCTGTAACTGCTGCTGTCGCAATATCTGCTGTTGAAGTCCGGCATGATGGGCTGATGCTTGTTCATCTTCGTCCTCAATGACACACACGACTTCACTATCGCCAATATCTTCATCATCTTCGCCTTCATTCTCTCCATCATCCATATCATCAACATCTGCATCGTCGATGTCTTCGTCCCCATCATCGTCGATCTCTCCAGCGATGACTCCGCTCTGCGTGTTAGCGACCGCTGTTGCGTTAACAGAAGCAGTACCCGTTCCCCGACTTGGGGCAGCACCTGGTCGTGTCTCGCTCGTAATGGCCACATCTTCATCGTCGTCAGGAATGATAACAGGATCTGCAGCGGATGCCGGCTCTTCTTGGCCTGCTCGACTTGCTCGGTACGCGGAAACAGCTTGCGCATCCAACTCCATCTGCTCATCGTCGAGATCCTCATCGTCCATCATATCCTCATCTTCGGAGAGACTCTCCTCAAGTTGTATTGCATCACTTGCTCTCGCCTCTTCCAGCTCGCACAAAGCGTCAACGGCCCTGCGTTCCTACAACATAAATAGTCATTAAATAGGATGCAGGATACTATTTAAAGTAGGTATATAGAAAGCAGATAAATATGTGTTTTAAACAATTCACTACAGATCAGTGAATTTGACTACTACAACACTAACTTCATAGAGCATTAGATTAGCAGATGTGCGCCCTTGTTAACAATACATGACTCACATAGACCAGTCAGTAAACATCGATCTTTTTGTAGCTTCGGTAAAGATCTAAGACGAAACATACAAATTTACATACAGAATAATGCGCTCAGATTTGGGAAAACTTTCGTGGTTGTTTATGGTAACGGGCATGCGCGCTTCCACTACTTATATATACTATAATACCAGACTAGCACCTCTTTTTCCTAAAACAAAATGACAAACTCGTCATGGTATATACCAGTGCTCCGTTTTCGCAGTTCAAGTGAAGAGGAGCTATTATTCAGTGCTTCTGCGCTGGATGACCCCCTCCCAACAAAACTAAAAACCTTTTCCGATATCGACAATCTACATTATTGCCAGTTTTCGTGTGGTTTGTGAAAAATCTTAGAAGGACTTTCATGGTAAAATGTTGGTCCAAGAAGCTTAAAAATATATCAAAATATATCAAAAAATGAACCTAGGCTTTTTAACAGAGAAAGGAATAGCCATTTTAGGAAGGAGAATATCGAATATGTCAGATTGGATCGCCCAGATAGGCTCCAATGGTTATTTTTTTTTAAATATTTTTGAACCCTTGCATTTCTTGGGTCTTTTGGTTTGCTGTCATCGCAAACTTTGATTTTGTTGAAACTGTTTATTATGCAGCGTACATGAATAATATTTTAATGGGTTGACACCTATTAATATCGCACAGCGCATGATTAATATTATAAATTTATTGGCAGATTAAGGAAAGAATATTTTAAAATAGACCCGTTACCGATTTAGATCCCGAATTTAAGTTAAGCAGTGAATGGCCATATTAAATAAACACGACCGCCAGGAATGACAGCTTTAGCACATGCAAAAAAATTCGTTGAGATATAATTTTTTTTATTTAAACGTAGTTTTAGAGACCAAGCATAGAAAACTTTCAGTCTAGGCGCGGTACCTTATACATGGCTCAAACTGTTTATACCCCTAAGTAGGTTGCCTATTACAGGAATAATGCTAGTTTTCTAACCCATCAAGCTATCCTAATAGTAATATAATGGCTGAAATGAAAAACCACGCGATACTATCATTACATTTTTCTACTTTCCCACCTTCACTGAGCGCGGTCCAGGCCGGTGATGTTGAGCATTACGTGCTTGATAAGGGAACGGTTGTCTCCGATGGTGTGTGGTAATTGGTCCTGATCCACGGGGCGAGGTAAGCCGATCGACATCACTCATGTCATCCTCTTCCTCAGCCTCCTCATCGTCGTCATCTTCGTCGTTGTCAAGTGAAACCATTGGCATTAATGAAGCCAGCACAGTTTTGTCCACCATAGTAGGCGGATACAGGGTCGCATCATCTGTCTGAATTTCGGCCGAGCGTGTGCGTTCTGATCGCGTTAGCTCAAGTCGGCGAATCCTACGATTGTGCTCGTGCATCGCATGCGAGTACGACAGCGCGAAGCCACATTCAAGTGGCTGCAATGTGTTGCATAGAATTCGATAATAAATATCGCACGCTTCCCGTACCTCATATACATCATCATACAAGCCGTCCCGCACGACGTCCATAATTTCGGCTGTTGGTGGCATTAGGCTAGGATTCGGCGATATTACAAATGCTGCCAACAAATCGTATACTTGTCGGCGACAGCGGGAACATGTGAGCAAAGCACCAGCCAACGGCCGTGTTAGACGCACTGTCGCAGGAATCAACTTTAATAGCAGCTGACGAACAATGTCCGAGTCCTGTTCTCCGTATCCGAGAACGATCGCTCGTTGAAGAGCCAATGCCGCCGCACAGCGCTCTTCTGCTCCGCGTGTAATGACGGCGTCGGGGTCGCATGCAGACGCGACGTCTTTCGAGGTCATGTTGACAAGCCGAAGCAACGCCTCACCTCGATACGTGAGTGATGATGGAGTCAGATTTCGTATCCACACGGCAATTGCTTCGTATATTTCGGCGCGCAGCATGCTCATGTCGACCGGGTCGGTTTGGTGGGCAACCTCAAGAACGTGCAAGAAGAAATCCGCCAATCTCGCGTTCACCAGTATTATCTTGTGGGTCCGAACGTTCGAAATGAGTTGTCGGGCAATACGAACCGCACGGTGAATAAGGGTCGGGCGCAGAAACAACAGATGTTCGTCGGTTGATGCACATATCACCATCTGGTTGATCAGCGTCAATAGGAGCTTTTGTCGAATATCTTTTGCACTTGGAGATCCGAGAATAGCTTCAACAGCGTCGAGCTGAAGGATTAACCGCTTCCATAGAATCATCCTCATATCGACGTGTGCTGCTACACCACTGCCGACTGCGACCGGAAACAGTTGTTCATCAGCGACAGCGTATATTGTGTTTTGCAGCTGGGACGGATCACAGTGTCCCAGTCCAGCGAGAAACGCCTGCTCGGTGAGCAAACAGCTCCGAATCAGCATCTCCAAATGTTTGCTCTGGATATCGTGCCGCATAGCCGGATCAACATAGCACTGGGATAGTGCAGCAAGCGTATTGACCACACCTTGTCCACTTTTTGTATCATGCCTTTCTGCGGCTACAATCTGTTTAAACAGGAAGCGCTCGAATTGGTCACGATTAGGAAGACACATTTTGCTAAAATGCGCAAACGTTGCCCGGGTTAAAGCAAGAAGATTTGGTGAAGCGGGAACAACAGCCAAGCGTCGCGTAAGCATTTGCACTAAAGGAGGAAACACTTCGGTATTCATATCTCTCTGAATATACTTGAGGGATCGCAACCTTAAGATCAATCGATGTAGCAGGGTGAAACATGATTGCTGGAGACCCTCGTTGGCGCTCTGTTAACACAACAACAGGTACGAGAGGAAAAAAGTCGTATAATGTACTGTCATATAACAACTTTTAACGGTGACAAGTAAATACACAAAAATAGTATTTTATCTAAGACACAACTTAATATGTCTCTTGGTTCCAGTGTAAGTCATAACTAAAGCCATTTCATGGAGTCGCAATACGTTTGTGTCATCTCCGCGTTTCTGTCTATAAATGGAGCCTCTGCTATAGAAGGAGTTGCTCTATTTTTGAATTGAGGTCATCTAACAACTTCACCAATTTGTGGCTCTGAATCCGAAATGTCCATTCTTCTAATATTGCCTGATCTACCAAATGCATCCCCTATATTTTTTTATCGTCTTATAATTTATATATTTGTACCATCCCGCAATGTTATTAGTTTGTACTACAGACTTTATATGTACGCAATCATTATCTTCTATACTCTTTGCCACCTGTCCAATGCAAGGCTTAACACTACCACCGGAAGAAGTTAAATTTGAAATATTTGGCTACTTCCTAGATTGCAGTGTGCGTAAGAAACTATTTCGGTAAGTGTGTCCTCACCGTTGAAGTTTTACGTAACACTAAAAATTATCTGCTTTTCCTGTTTTTTCATTTTTCATGTTTTGTAAGTAATAATAACAAAATTTGTTATTATTAGTGGTTACTCATATATTCATTATTTGTTCATTCCCTAATCATTTATTATATTTTTATATGTACTCATTCATCCAAGATAGTATTTAAACTTACAGAATCTATTATCAATTTATATTTTTGAATCGAAGCAACATTGTATATTCGGAGATTTAAGATAAGATTCGGAGATATAGATAAACAGTGTTCTATATTATATGTTGAGGTGATATGCGGAAATGCCTAATAAGCTCTTTTAAAACGTGAAAGAGTGTTAATTGTAGTAACTATTTATGATTATTACACTAAAAGTATAGTTAACAGATTTTATTCAAAATCCTACTGTGTTTGGAAATAGTAGTAATACAATTGAATCTTTTGCGTATTTCTATTTCTAATTTAAAAGGTTGTGCCCCAAGAAGAATCGATCCTGTAGGTACCAATGTGATGAGTTGCTTCATGAAGTGCACTATGTCTTGTGAAAGTACTCCATCGGGAATTTGTTCAAGAACAAGATCGAGAAGCGCTAAACCTTCGGCGCGCTCCCCGCGACTTCCTAGGAATCTTTTCGTGCATTGACATATCTCCTCAAAATACGACTGTAAAGCAAAAAAATGAAACAAAAAGTAATAAATAGAAATACGTTAGTTAGATTTCTCAGAAACATACTTTCATAGAGGGGTACGATTCGATTAGCTTCAATCTTTAATTGGGTATTGATACGATCATATTTGTGCGCAAACATGGATGAACAAAAACATCAGCTTGACGAGGTGCATTAAGCCAAAATTTGATTTTATCCACTTTTTGTACTTGTTCCAGAACAGTTGTTTCTATTGAAAATTCAAACGCTGAACGGATGTCTTACATTTAGTAAAACAACGTACGTGACACAAATAGAAAGAACCATATAAAAGTATACGCAACGAAGTTAAGTAATAAAAATCAACATGCTGAAAAGTCTATGTTCATTTGAATAAGATGAAATCTTAAACGAAGAAGATGAACGATGACATCTCATAAAACAAGTTCTGGTGCTCTAAGCTTATTGTTACTGTAGCTTAGATAAGTTTGGAATTCCAACTACATGCAAGATGCGCATAATTGCTAAGCGGTATAACCAGTATTTGTTGAGATGAATTTAAACTATATATGGTCGTTTTCGATACAAGTTCATCATCTTAAATTTGAGTGAAATTAAAACAGGATAATATGCAACTATAATTTCTTTCATTTAGATCTATTTCTAATCCAATTTAATTCATTTAGATTTAATCTTTTGCCCAACGTCACCACGCTTGAAATCAACCAAGTGTAAATAAGAATTAAAACAAACTGGCTGTCAGTTAAGGAACCCAGTTCTTTTGTTGGTAAAAAGTGATTCCAAATAAACAGGAATAGTCACGTTATCTATAAAAATTGTGTCAAAGACCAAACACACGTTCGAAACTATATGACGTGGAGGTATACACAGGCCGACAACTCTCTTTCTTGAGCAACGCTCAACAAAAAAAATTGCTAGGTATCAAGACTATACAATGGTCGTAGATGCGAATTTTGAGCATTCTCACTTTACAACACATCACCATGAGTCACTGACCGCCGTATAGGTTCCATAGTGCGCTTAGTCGATATAGATTCGAATGAGCACTACACTGACTACGCAGCATGTCCAAGAAGGGCGGCGCTGTTGACACACTGTCGAATCTGACACCGAACTATAGCATTGAAACTCAGATTTCTACATCTAGAGAATTTCTGATTTTCTTTTTTTTGTAAAATGTCCGCGCTTGGCAGAGCATGCACTTCTAATGTTCGCTCTGTCTTCACACAAGCAATAGGAACACCACCGCTATCGACACTGTTAATATTCGAATCGAAAGGATGGCTTGTGCATGGGTTTTGCTATTTGAACGCACTGCCTGGCAACAAATCCATCTTGATCAGCAGGGTTAGCAGTGTTATTGCCGCCAAAAAACCCACTTATGTCAACGACAATAATAATACTAATAATAACAATTTACTGTTTTGCAAATAATTGAATGATACAAGAATTGTTTTCCGGTAGGCGCATTAAGTGGCAGCGTGCCTGGCGGTAAAGCCGAACTCGCCGTGACTGAACGCGGTAAGCAGGTCATTGACGGCACCTATCTCGACGTACGGTGCTCAAAGTAAATTGTTAATGGAGCAAAATCGAAACGCTTTGTCGTGTACGTACCCTAGCCACGCCGATGCCGGGCTGTTGAAGATGTGCCAGAAGCGTGGATTTCACCTCGGTGGGAGAAGCCCCGGGCCCGCGCAGCCACTGAACAAGTAACTGCATCCTGGTGACCTACGAGGGGCCGGCCAGAGATAGGTGAACGTAGTTAGAAACTAAAACACTTTGCCAGATTTTTGATGAAAATAAATGCCACGAGCAGCACAGGAGTGTAAACTCCACACAGAGATGAATTCAATGATTTTGTTAGGGCGGCTGATGCGGATGGTAAGCAGGTGAGCGTTGATTCAGATCAGACCCGTTTTGAATATTTTGGCGGGCACCTCCCGGTTGGCAGACAGGACAACAATGAACGCCACGTTTTTCTGTGTCGCATGCTAGAGGTCTCCTTAATATTTTATTTACATGTGTATGACAACCATAGGTAGAGCATATTTAACTAAAAGATATAATTCTAATGCAGTCGGGTAGCTGCTATAGCTATTATATTATATATGGTCAGCAAACTGATGAAAGCGGTCAGAAATGAAATAGCGTAGCATGTTACGGAAAACTGTTTTAATTCTTTAGTTATATTTGGCGTTTAAAGACAAAATAAAATTCACATAACCAGCTTCTGAACACTCTTATACCCTTACAAATGAGTTTAAGAAGTAATCTAAACTAATAGACGATTATTGCTTAATTTCTCTAGAAATTTCTTTAGAAAATTTGCTTTTCCTTAGTGCTAATAATCTTATGCGTCTCTATAGCTGTTTTATATTTGGAATCATTATTTTAATTTGAAGGATCGGTGTATATGAAACAGGTTATAATTTAGAAAACTACAAAGACTTGCTCTCCTAACCAACGTAGACTATTGCAAGATTTCTTCGATCTTTTGAGAAAAATTGGTTGATGCGATCCTGATCCCTGCGATCTGAATTTGTTGTTTTTCTTAAAAATGCATAATTTACGCGAAATCAATTATGTTATTATTCTGTAACCATTTTACGTTAGAGCCCCTCAACGGGCTTCGTCCAGCTCTTTTGTTCTAAGGCACTTCAAATCTATATGTTCGTTCTATGGACGATCAACACAGGAAATAAAGGAGAGTGCTTTTTGTCAACAGAAAAATTTATTGAACGCAGTGACTGAAATGCCTATAAAATATATATAAAATGAATGTTTTTGATTTAAGAGCTTACTACAGCAATTCTTTAGTGCGACTACAATGAATGGTAGCTAGAAAATTACTCACAATTGGAATACTATGGAAAGGACCTAAATAAACTTAAGAAAATAAGTCTTTTCTGGTATCTAAAATAGACATATTTCTTTTAACGTTTTCTCCTGCCCAGCAAGCTTCGATCATAGTTTCGAAAACGAAAAGTTTTCTTAAGAAAAAATTGATGATTGCATTTCAGTTCAATTGAATAGGTTTAACTAAAGCCTCGTACATATATACACGTGAACCGCCCACACAACTTACATACACCTGGAAGTTCTTGTGCAATTGGCCCTGACGCTTCAATTACTACTGTTCGTTCACCGAGTCAAAGGCTCTATTCACGAAAGGAGCTGACAAACATGCCTGGCAAAACATCCAGCAGTGTATAGCTTCAGGCCATTGAGGAACCCAACAGAGAGCCAACAAGTTTCAATTTAAATGTATTTATGTAAAATCTTCAAATTTGTAGGGTTGCTTATCGAAGTCAGCGATCCTTAATCTGGTTAAAGGCATGTAGAAAGCGCAGCGTTTTATCCGCGTGACAGCCGCGGCCTTGTCGAAACTGGACAAGTTTACAATGGTTTAATCGTATCATGTCTTTGACAGGCAGAACATCATGAAGCGCACGGTTTTCTTACACACCATCCATTTAAATGAGTGAGGCCTTATGATTTATTCACGTTATGACTAGGTTACTCTTCGACTTAAGTAGTGTACGGTTTCTTAGACATGGTATTGTGTTGAAATATTAATTTCTTTATGGACCACGAGGTGTGTCACATATAACCCATAACTCCCACTTAACCAAGTTTCTGAAATGAGAATCAAGGGCAAACTTCCGGCATTCTTTTTTTGTGTTGGACAGTTGCTTAAAGAAGTGTGTTTCGTATTTTACATCTTGTACCTAAGCGATCAAACATTATTTCAAGCGGGTGGATCCTAGCATGAAACGGAATGTGTTTCCGCTCGGATTGGAACCTAAAAAACAAGCAAACACGTTACCCATTGCACCATTATGAGGATGAAGTATCCTACCTTTTTCAGCCGACTATCGCGACCCGAAAAGGAGCGGTGAACACATACTGTAGATAAACGAGGTTAGATAGGTCGCGATGGAGTGTGGAACATCCTGTTTTTTAACGCTGAGCAGCTTGAGCCTTGCAGTGTTATCTGGGCTTAAGAAGACCTGATTGTGTGTTCTGTGTACCCTTATGAGAAATCAATAAATTCATCACAAATGGCATGTTATCACTAAAAAGTATTATATATACATATAATTTCTACTTGTTGCAAGCCTGAATCTACTGTGGAGAACCTTACGTAGAGCTCTATACAGTTATATTAGAATTCAGGGATTAATAGTTGGAGCGGTTAGTAAAAATATTGGTCAAAAAATGTTTGGTTTTGTTACAAGCTACTTTGAGATAAAACAGTCTAGCATGTTTATATAGTTTATGTAATGACCACGAAATGCGAAGCCTTATATATTATTTTGATAAGCTTCTTATTTAGTAAGCTTATTGATATTCCACGATTCGAAAAAACGGTTCACGATAGCTCTCATGCAAAATTTCTCTCGTGGATTTTTGAAAATACTTTTGTATGGAAAAAATGAGTGTATATGGTTATCTTCGGATCGTATTTTGATCCTTTTCAAACACGCTCTGAGAATTTGCGACCCAGCAATCGCTTAGAATATCCTTTATTATACCAAGAAGTGTTCAAAAAATCTAATCACAGATACAAAAACAGTACAATATCTTATATCTATGTAATCTTTCAGTGACATTTTATCCATTTGCATGTTGTGCGGACAAAACACGACAGCGGTAGCATCTTCCACTGATCTGTGCAGTAGCAAACATCTCGAATAACATTAAATATTCTCGAATTTACTGTAACAAAGCTGGCCCCTACATCGTATCCAAGAAAATGCTATGTCCAACCCGGTAGCCATTGGAGGTAAGATTCAGGCAGATATCGTCGACCCTAACACAACAGTAAACGACCTCATGCACATCGATTTTAATAATGAGCTAACTGGGGTTATTGCAGGAGAATGGAGCAAAGAGCATACTAAAACATGATGGTGGCGAGAGTCGGCCTTACAACGATCCTGTGCACATAGGTTTCGGACGCCTCCGTATGCGAAACTTTAGTCAGGGTGTTCAAGACTAGAAACCAGCAGGGAGCTTTAACCTGCTTTTGCCAAAAGAAGCTAGTTATCAGCGACAAGGCGAGTACAATCGAAGTTATCAACATGGAAAGTTTGAATGTTAAGCGTTTTGCAAGTTAATTACAGCATTATACATATACATTGTTTGGATAATTGACTCCGAGTTCTGATGTATGTAAATACACTTGTTCATCAATTTATCTCGGTTTTTTGAATTGTATTGGTTTTTTAGTTGAAAATGTCACGTTAGATAATCGCAATAAACTAGGTTTATTATGACAACATAGTTTCTGGACATATGAATTTCAGCATAATTTGCCGATCTCTTGCTATAAGAGACAAGGTTGTATGCAAATAGATAGGAAATAATTTGTTAATTCTGTCAGGTCACGGGTTCTCAAGAAACTGAAGATCAGATAGCTTTCTCATGAGCATCGTTGCACACAATGCATTCTAAAATAATTTCTACTCAAATAGACTAAAGTAAAAAAGAGCTTAAAAAATCTACTCATTTTGACATCCATTAATTAAGACTTTACTGACTCGATGGTTTTTGAAGTTGAACGTCTCTCTAATGCAGGTAAATATTTAAATATGAAATTCTATAGACGAGTATTTTCAATTTCTGGTTCAAACAGAAAATACTGCTTAAAGTGGAAATAATTTAGTTAATTTGCGTTATCTGAGTCTCAATTATTACATTTAATTTAACGATTAATTTCGAAACCAATTCAATGAACCAGAAGTTGGTTGAAAGTGCTGTCATATTATCTTACTATAATAATAATCTTACTAAACTCTTAATGCATATAAGAATAATGAGAACTTATAAGGAAATCAGATCTTTTATTCTCTAAAAATAAGCGCACACCAATGTAATAGAATGGTACGAGTGGCAACACTTATTTGATCTGAGTTCTTCTTCTCGTTGTACACAAAAATAGCATAGTTCGTTTCCTATCATCTTTTCACTTTTACCCATTTAAATACATGAAGTGACATCAGGTTTTTAGCAACGCTGTCCGTACGTACCTATGCTTGTGAATCGCACACAAAGCTCATGCAGGTTGCATGTTACTTAATTAATTCAAAAACGTAAATAATTATCAGCTCCAGAAAAATCGATTATAATTACTTAGCGTTTCCCTGCTATCCCTATATATATATATATATATATATATATATATATATATATATATGGTTTCGTAATGTGGAAACAGGTTTATTCATCAATCGTACATGTGCTACCGCGGTTTGTTCAGGTATATCACGAGAATAACAGCTTATTTGCGTCGTCTCCTGCCACTTTGCAGTAAATCACCAAAGTCGAACTCGCTGCAAACGACGTGTTACTTTTAGTGGCCTAACAACGTACATGTCCACCTTATAATAGGCAAAAGCACCTATCAAAAGTGAACAGTAGTTTCAGGTTTGATAACCTGAACTCAACTTGAGTGAATGCATGCTTGAGAGAATGAGAAAGTCGATTTAACTGATGATTTTTTGTTATTTTCTATACCGTCGGTGTTATCAGCCGATCAGAATTGTTAAAACAAGGTCGTAGCATGAAGGAAGCTTGGAACGGTTTCCCCTGATTTTTGTATAGGGTTGTAGCTGATCGCCGTGAGCTGAAGAGCAATTGAAATCATTTTAGAAAATAGCTACACAATTCAGTTTAATTGGAGCAAGTACTTGTAACGACAACGAAAAAAAAAAGTTTGGAAAAAATTCAGTACTAAAAATAATAGAAAAATATAAAGAAATACTACTCAGCTGCTGCTTTTCTACGTCATAGCAAACTACTGTAAGCTGCGATTTCGCTCGTCTCAAAGGTCATCCTATACACCGTTGATTATATGCGTACAGCTCGAAAGAACGGTAGTAAATGTGTTTCGTTTTGACTACGAACTTAATACTACATCCAGTGGACATGATACTTTACATAGAGAATCGACAAAAAAATGCGATGTGCAAATAGATATATAAATGTGTATTAAACTCAATGGATTTTCTTATATATTATAAATATATATCGTTATATGAAGTATAGAGTGATGTGTCTTTGAACTGTGCTGATATGGGAATTACTGACCACGATGAATGGTAATAAAGACGGTAAATTCCGTCTTTGCTTGCTGTTGGGCAGCAATAAACGAAAAGGTAAACAAGGTTTATCAGTAATTTTGCAGAAGATTAACATTTTTGCATAGAGACCTAATAACGCAATGCAGAAAATCGTCTGATACCCTTCTCTGATTTAACCTATACTATAGCAGTAACATGTCAAACAACAAACTGTCCTACGCGCCTTGAAAACCTTATATTTTTGGTGTATTTTCAAGTAGTTTTAGACAAAAAAAGAAGTCACTTTTTCTATGGATAAATGTTTCTATGAAACCGGACAGTAGGTATACAGCATGCCAACAGCACCTACATCTTGTATATAATCGACTTGTTTACTTTTATCGGTAAATTTTTACTTCTTTTTTACGTCGCCTTATACATTTCGCAAAAAATGCACCCGCAACAAGTTATCATATGAAAATACAACGGTGATTAACCTTTAGGCGAGGTTTCAACAAGGAAAAACTTTACTATCCTCCACCTTTTTCACATCACAGGACCTTATTCTCACTACAAATGATACAGATCGATTACTTCGAGTCATTATCTCTCCCTTAATCCCGCTGCTCTGACGGGCTTGGCGATTTAAACCTAGCGATAAACTGATCGAGTTTTGCTCGCTTGCCAGCAAGTTCTTTAATGGCAGGATGTGCTTTGCCATAATGAAGTAAGAATATCGGCTCGGTCTGCAGAAGAACACGCTTGGTGTCACCAATCAGTGTGGCTAGCTCCCGTGAATAACCACTCCGTGCAAACGACTCCTGCGTGGCGTTCATTAGTACATCGCCATATTTTAACAGTTCATTACCAAGTTCAATACTATGTTTGCCGTAGACAAAACGAACACTCTCGATGGCCAATTTGAGAGGTCCAACAGCCTCGCGGAACCTTTGCAGGGCGCACAAACATTTAGCAACCATGTCTCTCGTTTCCATTAACTGTTTATTGTGCCGATATAGCAGCTTCTCTCTGGCAGCAAGACATCGCTGGAGACGGTCCAAAGCCTCTCCGTAACTTTCAATTTCAGCTAGCTGGACGCCCTGCACAAATAGATCGTGCATCTGAAATGCTTTCTGTTCTTTTTCAAGACACTCTTGCGTCGTGTGGCACTGCAAACAATCCGCTTTCCCGGAGGATGCCACCGATGACAAAGGGCCTTCACAGTATTCACAGCTGTAGGTAGAAATGTAAGAAGTGTTAGTTTCAAATCCTTCTTCCTTTGTCGCATTATTGAGCTATATATAATACTTAGACAGAACAAAATATTTATTAACAGTATACTTTTAGTGACATAAAATAGTGAAGCTTTTCTGTACGTACCGAAGTGCCATCAATATCTGATCATCGACGTCTCCTCTACGGCAAGCTGTACAATCGCAGTGGAAAAAGTATTGTTCGAGTAAAGCTGTCTGTCGCTCCTGGAACGGCATTCTTCTGTAGTGGGGCCCATAACAATTGAATACTTCCTCGCCGGCTGCAATAGTACGTATGGCTTTCACAACGAGTGTCGATCCAAAGCGAAAGCCCGAAGTAATGTTCGGTTCACAAGAGTGGTTCATCAGGCTTGCTGATGGGTAAATAGCTGTTGCAACACGAACCTAAAGCAATAGTTACGCAATAATATTAGCTAAAATATAAAAAAAGAAAAGCAAATAATTAAATGTATATATCACTAATCTGACAATTCTCCTTTTTAACGGGTCATCCTCTGCGCGCTAAACCCTTGTTTATCAATAGAGGAGTGAAAAACTATGGTGCGATGTCACCAAATGCCTATGATGACTTTAATTCAATTTAGGCCACGCCTAGTTCGCAAGGTTAATTCAGTTCTATCGAGTTATTCATTTCCTTTAGTATATCAGCATAATATCGAAGCATCCTCGTCTACAGCCCAATAAATCTTTAAAAAAAAGGCAACCTGCTCTTGCTCGAGGATTATCCCGTCCTCCTCAATGACGTTATCACCCGGTTGTTGGATCGTTGTAATGGCGTGAGCATTGCAGATCAATTGCTCAATATGGCGTAAAAGAAGACCTCCGACATAAAGCTTCAGTTGCGGACTGCACTCCGAACGAATGTAACCTCTCAGCGAATGACGGTTACTGGAGCAGACGCCGGCCCGCAGCTGCAAATTTTGTACACGTTCTGACAATTGAGTCGTTGTGAAGAACGTCGTATGCCTGAATTCGAAATGCAGTGTTGGGAGCTAATCATTAATATTTAATGAAAATTTTTTGGGCTAGAAACAGCAAGCAAGGCTCAAAACTTATATTCTATGACTGTAGCTGAATTAGATTTTTGTGCATCGTCTGTATAATAGATGAGCTCGCCTTGTGTTTAGTAGAATGATCTAGAGGTGGCTGATTTGAGATCTGTGTGGTACAGGTATTTGTGAGAGACGTGTATTGGAATAAAAGGTTAAATACATAAAGATGACAATAGAAACTAGCTTTTTTTTTTTTTTTTTTTTACTGGAGAACTAGCTTCTCAAGCTAACTAAGAACTGGTTGAGCTACTTTAACGACAAATAAGATAGCCAGGTTCTCGTGACAATACTGCAGTAACATGTTTGCCTACTAAACTTGGGGACATGTGAGGTGGTCTAAGTTAGACACCGAGCATAAACACGTTGTTTCGTGCTCAATGAAGCGTCCGAAACAGTGCTTAACAATACATGTAAGCTCGAAAACATTTAGACAAAACAACACAGTAGCGTGTTTTCTGGCGTTTTCTAACCTTGAACAGTAATTAGTAATAATAATGTTTGCGAGCGAAAGCAAAAAAAATGTGCGCGTATGCATACGATTCATAATTAATTACTGTTTACCGTTCGAGAAACTTGAGCAGAAGAGTGGCGGTAAGAGAGTACTGGAAAAGGTCCTCGATATGCATGTCCTCTTCATGGGTAATGAGCTGATATACCGGAAGGTAGCTACACTCAAGGCTGCTTCGCGACTTCATAAAGTCCTCAAGCAATCCAATACCCGTAATAAGTACAACCCGTTCAGCTAAATGGGCAATGCCTACAGATGTCAGGAGATCGAGATAGCCGCATTCTGCCCGATGGTAATTCTCCCAAGCCTTCTGAGCACAACGCGTCGAACAGAAGCGAACTTGCGCGCACTGTTGGCATGGGTAGGCGGCTCTGATTCGCTTGTAACAGTGATGACAATGGGTCTTTGAAAACGATGGAAGTAGGACCGATGCGTAAGGTCGCTCGACAAAGAGGTTATCCCCCGGACGAAGGTCACGGTTGGCCACGATAAAGCGGCCTTTTTCCGTCGAGTACAACGAGTCCAAGGCGGATGAAGCATTTGGAATTGTTGTGTGTGGTGAAGGTTGGACTAGTTCGTCTTCGTCCGTTTCGTCATCAGTTTCTAGTTCCTCTTCAACGGGTATTTTTGATGAGCATTTGTGGCGTAGCATCTCAATTTCACGAGCCTGCTTCCCGAGTTTCTCTTCGTCCAATCCCGATAAATCGAGAGCCATCTCAGCATCGGTGAGCGTTACCTGCGCAGCCTCAAATGATGCCGTCTTTAGAAGGCACTGCGCTTGACGAAGATGCAGTTTATAGCGGAGATTGGCCGGGTAATCATATTGAAGCGCCTGTTCGATGTCACGTAAGGCGAGCGAGAACTTATTCAAGTAGAACCATGCAGCGGAACGGTTGGCAAAACTTAGTGCGAGCTCTTCGGCATGACCCTGGTTTGGGCCATTAGTACATACAGCAGGAAATGGCGCACAGAGAATACTTCTAGTATAATACTCCGCTGCCTCTCGATACCGCTGAACACCGAAACACAGGTTGCCTTCCGAGCGGAGTTCGAACGCCTTCTCCCAAAACTTTTTGTGGCGCGCCGAGCATAAAACCTCTAGCCACTCGTCTACACGTGTCTGCGTTAAGCTTTCCTGTAGACAGAAAAGTATCCGGTCAGCATTGCACGTTAGCGATTTAAAGCCCTTCTGCAAGGCGCCATTAGCCCGCAGTCGTTCACAGGTGTCATCGAGCACATCTTGCCAACTCTCGTATTTCGACATTGTCTCGAGAACCGGCTGAACAGGCGCCAGCTGCTGGACCCAGTTCCAAAGTAGTTACAAATGAAGGCGTTTTGGGAGCAAGGCGCGGCAACGTCGGGTATAAGATGGCGCAGTCTGTATAGATAATTGTATAGTTGTGGTATTAACGATTGCTATCAGTCGTATAGCTATCAGCACCACTACTACTACTACAACTTCAGCGATTTAGTTGGTAACGGCAGTTGTGGCTAACTTTCACCTATGGTGATTGGCAGCACAGCAGTATCACACTGTCAGCAACACACACACCTACACAATGCCAGTCTCCGACGGCTACTATTGACCTCTCTCATTGGTACTCATCTACGAAGTTAGTTCACGCTCCTCTTACTACTCACAACGTGGTCGGAGAGTACCAACCAACACGCTTCATACTCTACAAGTAGTTTCGGTGTGAATTCGATGATTGACACTCACCACCACTGGCGGGTCACCACCAAATTTCTGGTTTTTCTCGGTCCCCCTTTCACTTCACGGCGACAGCCGCAACGATAGCAGCAGTGGCCTGGACTGGCCACGACACTTTCTACTTCCTCCTCTCTAAACACGAACAGCCATCAGCTACCGTCGTGCACCACTTCACTATTCTTCTCTCCTGGGCCTCCTCCATTCGTAACGGCCATTGTGGATCATGTTAAACCCGTTCTGCTAAATCTATCCCACCGTCCATTAGTCCACCTGCAACTCTACAATATTTATTTCTCACACAACCGGATTAGCTCGGTAAACGCTCTTCTCCATGCCACAGCTTTTGCGATATTCTCTCTGTAGTTCCTCGCTTTCTCGCCAACTTTCCTAACAGCAACGGCAAAAACCAGCACCAGTATTCATCGCCTATGACTGTATCCTCAACACGACATGGACGACGCCATTTTTGTTTTGTTTTGACACCAACAACAGCATCCGTGCCGCCGCTGACGGCAACATCGACAATGAATCATAAGCCTTCTCGTCAAACACGGTTACCCGCAGTTGGGGAGCAGCAGTTGCGAGTTTTGTGCTAGCCAAAGCTGCAGAGAGATATCACTTGGTGCAGCCACCCCTCGCTGCTGCGGCACCAGCACAGCTACTGCTGCCACTTTCTAAGTACTAGCTATGTGGCTCATTTACTCAGTCTCTTGAGCCTCATCAGAACAGACACAAAGATACACTAAACAGCAGCGACTGACAACTGAGTAGAATAGAAGATGGATTGGCCGCTGCAGAAACAAGGGCAGACCTAGCAACGCCAGTATTGCCGATGCGCCGCTAGCGGACAAATAGGACGCTTCTCAATGCCGTCGAATAAGCTGTTGATCCTTACCTGTAGCAATGGACCAAGGCCAATACGTCGTTTAGACCCCGGAGGTAAGCAAACAGGAAGAAAAAACGAGGGAAAATGGGGAAGAGACGGACCGCCGCTGCAGTTGAAGAAGACGCTAGCAGTGATGGATGGCGGCTGACGGCAGGCTAAATCGCGCCAGAGAGTTTCATACATGAGAGTAGAAAACAGATGCGTTAACAGCAGCAGTAGACGTATGGCCGTTTGTCGGAAAGGGCTAGGCGACTGTGTCATCGATGTCAAATATATAAAGATGGAGGCCAGTGATAGCCAGTACCAACAAACTGCCTGTAGTCAGTGTTTATGGCCAGTGGCAGCAGCAGCTATAGGTGTTGCCATTACGGATATCTTATATATAATAATTACCAGTAGATAACTTTGGTCGATAGAAATGAAGGAGCTAGTTCTAACTGTTTACGGGTGACGCTTTGTATGACGCTGACGTCATACGTGCTAGCCATCGTTAAACAGTTTTCGATGTTTGCAAGCGTTTGAATGAGAGGCAAGTGGTAAACTAAGCTGTCGAACTGGGCGAGTACCGGGGAGCGGCTCCATTATTATTTTAGCACATTAATTGGCTAGATTGTTATGTTTTTCCCCGTTACCATGATTTCGTGTGTTTGCTATATTGCTTACGCTGCTGTATCGCTGGTCATAATCAGTCCCAAAAGCCCCGCTTCCCCAAAAAAAAGGTTCGGTACTGTCGTTACCGCGATCACGCCTTATCATAAAGACAAGCACACTGTTATATTTTAGAGCAAGATATATTTTTCTAATGACGGTACTCTGCGGATGCAACAATTCAAGGAGAAAAGTATGTTATCCGATCAGGAAAAAAGACCGAGACTACTAACGATGGACTTTCCGGGTCTAAAGTAATTGCGGGATGGGTTAAGGCTTGTTGAAGGTTGCAATTGTCGGTTGTTGTGTGCGCACTTGTCTGACAGAGGAAGGGAGAGAATACGCATAGGCCGCGTCTGGCGCAGGCAATTAGCTCTAATTAGAGTGATTCAGGAAGGTTCCGATAACACCGTGGTTTACTTCATCATAAAGGATTTGAAAATGGCATAACGGTGACATCTTTGTCCAAACTGACCGACCAATTAGTGTCATGGCAAGCCAGGCCGATGAGCAGTTTTAGGCAGTATTTATATAGGGTTGAACAAAAATCACTTGAAGACTCTTGAACTGTCAAGGGAGTTTTGCCTAATTTTCTTTTTTTTTTCTATGTAAAGACTTGAGTAAAGGTTGTTCCTCAACAAGCCTACCACACGAGGTCTACCAGTATCTAAATGGTTCTAGTGCCATTTAATACGATAAACAGAACGATATCAACGTGTCGATCGAGAGCTACTCTCATAGAAATCTAAAAGGAAAACATTATTAGTGATTACATTTTCAAATGTTTCGTTTATTTACACTTTTCGTATGTACGTATGACAACTTCGGTGACTCGGTTCGAGTTCTCGATTCGAAAGAAAAAGCCACTCTAACCAGCGGGGTATTGTAATGGTATTTAAGGATGTCGATTATCATAGCTTGCCAGCCATGATCCTGAACTGTTTCATTTTTTATTGTTACCGAAGTACCTATAAAATAAATTGTATTTACTCTGTGTCACAAATTGTTGTGTGTTTGTCTGTTTTTTCCTATATTTATTGTTTTTTGCCTCGTTTGTAACTTGTGATTGATATTGTCTATTGTTATAGTCATAATTTTTGTAGGTTCTTCTGCAACATGTATCGCAATTTAGCGTACTTCGCTTTTTATTGTACTTTTAGCGCAGACGCCATAACAGTCTCACTTCGTTTTCTTTCCCCGCCCGCTTCAAAATTCGTTATCTGAACTATTCCCCAGCATACACGAATATAATAATAATTAACAAAATCCTCCTCACAAACACATATCACCACGATATGATACTTATTCATATTTGTATATATTTAAGTTATAAAGTAATTGTATCCACAAACATGCGTATACGGAAGTTTGCCCAGTAGCGTGCACAAACAATATTCTCTATTTGCTTTCTTGCTCGTCAGACCGTCTTGCAATCTCTCGCATCACGCTCAACCAATTGTTCCTTCAGCGCCAGGTGCTGGGTGGCAGCCAGACCTAGTCTATTATATATCTAGCTTTTCTTTAGAGGTTTGCCGTTTTATTTATATGTACCTCTTTTCACATGTGTCTCTTGGGCACGTAACATCTTAAATCACCGGCATCGGCTTCTAACGACTTCTGTTATGTACTTGACATTTCTGTGTTGTTTTTCTTTCATTGTAAACGCGTGTACAACAGTTTTTGTGATTGCTTTTCATTCATTATTGTTCCAACAATCCCACACTCCTTGTCCTTGTACCTTAATTCCTCACCATCATCATAATTTTCGTCACTTTTCATACATACGTTCGTCGACGCCCACCTTGCAACAATTTTATCGTCTATTACTAAGATTCTCAATGTAATAAACACCAGCTATTACTAGTCCTTCTGTCTTCATCTAGCTCAGCGTCGTCACTTTTCATTGTTCTACTCCTGATCTGAATCATCACCCGACGCAGGCGCATACACCGGCGAATATGCCGGAGACGTTGGCGTGTACGTCGGCGACGACGGTGAGTAATGGGCCTGCGAGTGTTGAGGTGAGCTCGGTGAATATGTCGGCGATGAGGGCGAATACGTGGGCGATGACGGTGAATACGTTGGTGAGGACGGGGAGTACTTCGGGGACGAAGGCGAATACGATGGAGCAGTCGGGGTAAAGTTCGGTGAGGACGGTGAATAAGTGGGCGATGAAGGAGAATATGTTGGCGATGATGGCGAATAAGAAGGTGACGCTGGCGAATAGCGATGAGATGTGTGTGATGTATAGGATGAAGTACTAGGAGAGTATGATGGTGAAGATGGTGAGTACTTCGGTGAAGCCGGTGAGTATGAGGGGGAGGCCGGGCTGTACTTCGGCGACGAAGGACTGTACGACGGCGAAGTAGGGGAATAGGTTGGTGACGAAGGCGAGAACGATGGCGAGGTTGGAGAATACGACGGGGAAGAAGGTGAATAAGACGGCGACGTTGGCGAATACGAGGGTGAAGATGGCGAATATGATGGTGAAGACGGCGAATAGGTGGGGCTTGTTGTGGGGTAGTTTGGTGATGACGGACTGTACGAGGGGGACGTGGGGGAGTACGTTGGTGATGAAGGTGAATACGATGGTGATGATGGAGAATAGCTCGGTGTCGACGGTGATGTCCCACCGTATTGTGGACTGCTCGGACTGTACGTGGGCGACGTGAGCTGATAGCTCGGCGAAGATGGCGAATAGCTAGGGGAAGCAGCGCCCAAGTGGGGACTATACGAGGGAGAGGCGGCGCCAGGATGTGAAGGCGAATAATAGGCCGGGCTGGATGGTGAGCCAGGGGACTGCGCCGGTGAATATGCTGGCGAATATGCTGGCGAGAATGCAGATTCGCTCTGTGTTGATGGCGAGAAAGCACCCCCGGCACCTGGAGTCATGCCGGCCGTTGGTGACCACATGCCGTAGCCTGGCGTTTGACCAGCGTTCCAAGGCGTCATTTGTGGACTACCCAGTGGAGTGCCGGCAGAGCCGAAGAAAGGTCCTTGGCCAGGTAGTCCGTCGATACCAGGCATGGCCATGTTGATTTCGATACCAGCTTTGCATTTTTCGCAGTCAAGCATAAGGTCGAAAGCGCCAGTACCCATACGTGCAAGCTTACCGAGAATGATATTCTCAGACACACCCTTCAGCTTGTCTGACTCGGCATGGAAAGCTGCATCCATAAGAATGTCAACCGTCTCTTCGAAAGAGCATCTCATCAAAGCTCCAGTATCCTGCCGATTAATACCATGTCGAGTGATGGCCATTAAGTGACCCTTAGCTGTCATAACGTCACAAAGCAACGCCAAATGACGATAGTTAACGTATGAACCATCGAACGAGATAACGTGATTCATTTCTTTCTCCACGGCCTTTCGCACAGCCTCTATGCCGAGCACCGAGAACACTTCTATGATGTCGTTTGAGTACGTCCTCACAGGGTCGACATCACGCTCAGACAAAACCCTCATTAATGATGTACCGTCAGTTTCGAGCAGCCACTCTGAAATGTGTTTGAATTCGCCTGTGTCCGTAAGAACGATGCGCTTTTTGTCGTCCGTGGTGGGTAGATGCATATACACCTTCGAGATCGCTTCAATACCCTGTAATGTCATGTCGGATAGCATATTGCTTTCAATGCAACGGAGGAATACATCGTCCTCCATCTTATCAGCCTGTTCTTCGGCTTCCTCCGTGAACTTCTCGCCTTCGCTGTTCATGATGCGAATGCGCAGAACGAGCTTATCGGCGTTGTCGTCATTGAAAATACAGTTGAGGTCATCTCCAAAGCCGGCGTTGATCTTCTCGGCAATCTGTTCCATAGTGAGTTTCTTGTCCGTCATTCTCTTGCGGTCAAGTTCAATACGAAGTAGCCACGGTGAAATGCGCGTCGGATCGAAGTCAGGCATCTCGTAATAGACGTTCACGAAGTCCTGATCTTCCGCTATGACGGTGTTTTGCGGATCTGGATCGTAGTAGATGGCTGTATTTGCCGTAACTTTGCGTAGAGTTGTGTGTTCCAAGCGACACAGCACATCCTTCGCTTTCTCGGCATCACGAGCCGAGGCACCCTTAAGAAAAACGGTTAGCGAGGGGGTTTTTGGCTGCTTCGAGATATTGATAATCTCCTTCAGTCGTGGTACACCGAGTGTTACATTTTTAGCTGACACACCTGCATAGTGAAAAGTATTCAGTGTCATCTGAGTAGCAGGTTCTCCGAGAGACTGGGCGGCCAACGCACCGACCATTTCACCAGGCTGACCCTGCGATTGGTGAAATCGAGCTTCGATTTCACCAAGGAGCCATTCGAACGCCTCTGTTGATAAGCGGAACTCTTGGCCAACACGACGCGAGCACAAAGTTGACCGCAACAGGGCTCTAAATAGAAGAGTGGCGTTTTCATTCGCTTGAATTGAAAGGTGATCATCTCCGGGTACAATGATTAATTTCTTCACCAAGTCATCGACGCCTTCGATGACGCGCAGCGGACTGAGATCGGTCTTTCCCCGAGTGTTCACACGGAAGGTCTTTTGGGCGTTCCAAATCATACGACCAAGGTTACAAGGCAACACGACTTTACTGTCTCCTGTAGGAAAAATACTTCGTAGGACCTCGCGATCTTTCTTCAGCAGTTCCCATTCGCGTTCCATTTCAGCAACAGCATTAGCGGAACCATTCAGATCCTTAATTACATCTTCGGTGTAGTATTTACGCAAGATCTTCTCATTTGTCACATCGAAACGGAATTTCTGTTCAAACTGCCTATTTGATGGCTTAACCGTAGGCAGGGATTGACCTTCTACGCAGGCTCCGTCCAGGCCGTCCTCTCCGTAACGGAACTGGATAACCTGTCCGTTCGAATTTCGTACTGTTCCATCGTAGCAGACCATGACCTGCGAAAATCACAATGCATTGAACATTTAGAACAGCTACATTATTACATTTTTAATGGATTTGGGATTAAAACTTTTTGATACTGAAAAATATATGTCATATAGTAGAGGATATGCTCACGTAGAATATGCTATCTTATTAAAATATGCAGTTCATCTATTTATAGGTTGTTTCTGTTAATCAGAGTAAGTTCGATACAGTATAGTGTAATATACAGGGCGAAACATCAATATGTCTATGCCGCATGTATAAGTGGAGGAAACCAGCTCTTACTTGCGCGGGCATTGATAGCTGGCAAAGTGATTGTCTCCGCGATACTTGTCAGTTTGACAAAGGGACAATAAAATATATTATGCTGACCTAGATAATAGTTGAATACCCTGAAAATAAAGAAAAAAAAATAATAAAAAGTACTCACGGATTCCATAGCCTTTATGAGACGTCGCTGGATGTACCCGGTCTCAGCAGTTTTCACAGCGGTATCGATAAGACCCTCACGACCTCCCATAGCGTGGAAAAAGAATTCTGATGGTGTGAGTCCGGCGAGGTATGAGTTCTCGACAAATCCTCGAGACTCGGGACCGAAATCATCTTTGATAAAATGGGGTAGCGTCCTCTTTCGGAAGCCGAATGGAATACGTTTTCCTTCAACGTTCTGCTGACCCACACAGGCAATAACTTGAGATATGTTAATTTTCGACCCCTTCGCGCCGGATACCACCATCGATTTGAAGTTGTTAAATTCGGACAGAGATTTCTGGGCAGATCCACCAGTCTTATCACGAGCGTCGTTTAAAATTCGGTTCACCTGATTTTCGAACGTTTGTCGCAAGGTGTTACCAGGCGTGGGCTCAAGCTCGTCGTTGTGAGCCTTCTCAATTACTTCTATCACGTCCTGTTTTGCTTTCTTAATCGTGTTCTGGATGTCCATATAGGTCTGTTGATCAGCAATAGTATCGCCGATACCAATTGAATGACCTTCATATAATAGCCACGCATTGACTGTCGTCTGAATGTGAGAATAAAAGAGGCCCGCCACTTCGTGACCCATCTCAACGAACAGCACGTGCATCAGAGATCCGGAAGAGGCTCCGACAGTTTTCTTACACACGATGCCTGATAGCAATTCGCCGTGTTCAATTATGACTTTGGTATCTCCCGGAGAAATCCACTTGTATGGTCCATCGTCTTCCTCATCCGGATGCGTCGAATGTGTTCGAATCAGATTTACGTTACCAGGAATAATTAACGAGAATAGCTGCTTTGCCGTCCATAACGGTTTCGGTTTAAGAATAGCTGGCATGGGTACCTTACCATTCCAGATCGGCAAGAACATAAGCAGCGTCATCATTTGATCTTTCTCGAGGAATACGTCACGTTTCGTCATTTTACGGACCGCTGTCAACGTATCCTGCACAATACCCATAACGGGCTTGTTGGCCTGTGGCGTGATAATCTGTCGGGGCACCATGGCCAGCTGCTCAATTTCGGCGCGAGTTTCGAGCGACTGTGGCACATGCATATTCATCTCGTCGCCGTCAAAATCGGCGTTGTACGGAGTTGTTACGGACAGGTTCATTCGGAATGTTGACCATGGCAACACGCGAATCTTATGACCCATCATACTCATTTTATGTAGTGTGGGCTGGCGATTGAACACGATGATATCGCCGTTCTGAACGTGACGTTCCACTTTGTAGCCGCACTGCAGATGGAGGTCGGATGCTTTCGGGTGGAAACGCAGATCAATACGTTCGCCGTTATCCCTGGAACCGACACCAAAACATAGCGAGAATTATGTGAGCAGATTATAAAATGGCTCTAGAGACCTAATACTAAGTGCTTTCTAGACGAGATCTAAATATAAAACGTTTGCTCTTTATTTCCACATTATAATTATCACAGCGCAGGTCTTTGAGGTAAACACACACCTGACAATGTACTTTGCCCCTGGATACTGATCGTTTCCTCTGGAAACCAGCTCTTGCATGCGTTCAATATTGAATGGCGTGACGATCTCTGGAAACGTGAGGTTTTGTGCAATGCTTCTTGGCACACCAACCTCGTTGATTTTCAAATTGGGATCAGGGGTGATAACAGTACGTGCTGAGAAGTCGACACGCTTTCCCATAAGGTTACCTCGGATACGACCTTCTTTGGCCTTCAGTCGTTGCTTGATTGACTTGAGTGGCCTGCCCGATTTCTGCATAGCTCGTGGCAGACCCGGCAGCTCATTGTCGTACAGCGTCGCAACATGAAACTGTAGCATTTTAATATTTTCGGTGATAATGTGCGCTCCGGCACCGCTTTGCTCATTGCGAATCAGTTCGTTGTTCGCTTTAACAATATCGGACAGTTTATGCGTAAGATCGTCTTGATTACGGGCCGACCCAAACATGACAACAGCGGGACGCACGCACAGTGGCGGCACAGCCAAAACGGTAAGCAACATCCAATCAGGTTTGGCGTAACGCTCATCCATGCCGAGGCAATAGCACTCCTCTTCGGTGATGTGTTTAAAGATCTCGTAAACTCGTTCGGCCGTGAGCATTTGTTTTTTCTCCTGAGTCTCCTCATTTGTATGCTTCCATTCTGCGCTCAAGTCAAGCCCTGATCTACGATAGTTTGGCTGGTGACGGCCACAGCCGGCATGAGCCGCTTTTTTATCTTCTTCCGTTGGTTCGCCCTGCCCACCGGTCTTCTCAATCTCGTCGCCCCCCTCACAAACCTGTTTGACCTTGCACAACTCGTAAACTTTGTCTAATCGTTGTCGTTGATTGTGTTTTGTTTTCTGAAGGATCTCCCTCATGCGAGGATGATTCTGGAAGAGAAGCATAAGCAAACGTGAATTTGAGAAGAACGATAACGAAGATACGGTGGCTAAAGTTTGCACATTCACAGCTTGCAACATATATTAGCAGATATAAGTAAGATATACTGTTAGGAAAAAATTCCACGCTTACTGGACTAACGAGAAGCCTACTGCAGTAGTAGCAGACACACCGAAGCACCTTCAGGGTTTTCGTCAGGAATCCAACGTGAAACACGGGCTTGGCAAGTTCGAGGTGACCAAAGTGGCCCGGGCATTCGGTCATATTACCTGAACAGGTAAGACAACGCGAAGAACGGTCAATGACACCCTGTCTAGGGTCCATTAAGCCACCCAACTTCGGCCGGTTTCCTTCATATGTCTCCGAATAACGAATTCCACCTTCGGTGACGGACATCCGACGCTTAAGAATTAAGAGAATAAAAAAAAAATAAATTACTTGGCTAAAAGAAACAAAACTATTTCAACGAATCACAAGAAATGTATCTTTATTTTTGAACAAAGCATATTTATCTACGAAATATCTACGTTGTAACAGATTATTGAATCTTAGAGATGACATCCACGACCCTATGCTAATTCTATATTTAACAATACTTTCGTTGATGATAGGTGTCATCCGATCATTTTTCTAATGTGAACTAATTAATGCTATGTACGGCTGCGTCTTTAACAACCGTTGCACGGGTCGTCTATTTTATTCATTGTTAGTCTAGTCAATAAACACTATGGAACTAACAAATAATATCAGTAAATGCATTTAATAACTAATAACGTTACATACACATTTCCATAGTATGTTTTCTTTATCTACTTTCAACTAATTCACGTGAATGCACTAAAAGTACTGATCACATACGGTAAATGACGCGAGGCACAAGTATGGTCCACGGTTGACAAACAGAAATGTAAATAAATCAATGGAAATTTTTGCGTTCATACCATATGTGTAAATAATATCTAGGAACGTATGTGTCGATTCTGTAAAATTATAATATGGCAACTACTTAGCTTCACGTTAAAACTACTCTGGCGATATTCAATTATGAGCTCAATTGTTACAGACAATATGCTATCAGCGCAGTGTATTTATTCGGTTATGTTTGTTCTGCAGTTTTGCCCAGTTTATCATCCCGCCAATGATTTATTCACGTTGCTCCTGGTAGTTGTTTTTTACCGAATTTCGCCTCGGCAACCCGAAACTATTGGCTGACAAGCCAGCGCGCCGGTCGGTAAGGCATGTCAAACGTGAAGACACCAGTCAAATCATATACATCAACAGTTGGCGCGCACAATTAAAGAACTCTCCACTTAACTGCTTAGATTGGCTTGGCGTCACTGATCAGTCACCCTGATTTGTGTTTACCGTAACTCGATTAGCCAATCCACCCTTATCTTATGCCCCGGGTAGATGTAAGTGTTTACAGTCGTTTTACCGGCAGTCCGTCCATAGATGTCCCATGTCAACGTTTCTGTACCTGTTCGCCCTTAGATTACGGTCAGCTACATCTTTATAACATAGTTGCCCATTTTATATCAGTACACAGCAACTTCTTTATCATGGTATATGGTGGTGTTCGCAATATAAACCTGTGCAGTTTGTCCAAATTAAATCCCTCTCAAGACCAATACCGTTGGTAACGTTGCTTTGACTGTACAGTAGCTGTTGGTGTCCATGTGCATTTGAGTGTGTGACAATGCAACTTCGCAATTACCTGCCCACCACAAGGGCAACACGATCTAGCTATATAGTAACGGAGATCGGACGGAGCGAACGACATGCACTGTTTATTATTGACGATCTTCAATCAAATTTTATGCGCCTTTCGGTTAGGCTCACGACGGTTCAGGCAGGCGGGAAAACACTTACGATTTCGTCAGGATCGAGAATGCCGAACTGGACCTCCCGCACTTCCCTCAGCGGGGCCTTCGAATCTGACGTGACGATTTGCGCCATCGCGCACTGTAATTTACTCTACGCGCTCACACTATACAAGCGATGCCAACCAACCACTGTCTCCTCGGTATGTTCGTTGTGAAATTCAGTTCGAACCATTCACACACATGTTTTTCGCATTAGTTCCCTATTTGGTAGCGTCGTTAGGCTTAGTACGGAAGCACAGCAAGCGCTTCCGACCAATACTGCAACCGAGCCTTATATACCAGCGGCTGGAGAGGGCGCTGATGTACTTTCGAGGGAAAGATCCAGCATAAGATCTTGCGATTCAAATGAAGCGCGGTCCTTTAACACCATGCATTTAGGGAAGATATCTCTTGCGTAATGCATATAAGATTGTTATTGTTATTAAAGTTCCGGAAGGAATTGTTGGCTGCACTAAAATTCGAACATCTGTGCCTATTTCAATTGAAACCAAAGCTAAAACAGCTGGGGATCGGAACTATCTCTTCGGGTAAGGGCAGCAGCGGAGGAGGAATACGTCTAACAAGCAAAGGCAAATGTATTTGACAATTAGTTGAATCACTTTTTAGATATCTATGATAAAGGAACTCCAGTTCTAACCTGGTTGGTAGATCAGATCGCAGGAACAGTTGATAACAGCAATTATTTTTTTACCGATCAAGAGCGCACCTGCATTCAATGATCACAAGGTAGCGCTGCGGTCACTTTGTTGACAAGATGGCGACCTCCATGACTCTAGCTGCTGGTGACCAAGTTCGGAACCTTTTATCGAAATGGGATGATCCCGAAGAGCCTTTGGCACCCCTGTCTGACCACCAATTAAAAGTTTTAGACCAGCTGGAGACTTTGAGTAGTGGCAACAAAGTGGAAAAGGTCTGAATCGGTAATTCGAACATGGTGACGTCTTACGTGCCCAACCTATGGCCTAAGCCAGCAATACACTCGCCACTAGTATATTACAAAAACACGATTTTGACAGGAATAACTGTCCGAACGCTGTTTAAATGAACAAATGTTCGGTTCATAGGGAGATGCAATTTACTGGTTTCACTTTTTCTATAATGTAGCTACATGTTCTTCGATGATTATTTCAGGATGAAAAATTGGGCGAAGATGATGCGGTGCTGTCATCACTTCAGATTGAGTACACCAATGCAAAGGAGGTAGGCAATACCACCAGATTTATTATTTGCCGATTACCGTTCTGTTCGATCAAGTATTCACTGTGAACGCCTTACCTATATAACATACTGACTGGATGGTATAGTAGTTGTAATACTACAAGTAACCTGTCAGGAAATCCCAGTTCTTAAGAGCTGAACAGCTTGTTTATTGATATTTCATATTTTTGCTACTATCGAAGACACTCTTGATAATAGCACTTATGCGCACATTAACAACAAGGGCGATATGAAATTTTCATTGCAATATTTTCCGCCATATTGTCTAATAGTATTTAAGAATAGAAAGTTGCATGCCGTACCAAGGACTGACTTAGGACTAAAGCAATGTAAGGCATACTGCAGGTGATCCTCTTTGCTATAACTAAACTTACTCCATATAACATATGAGTAAAATAAGCTTTTTTATACAATGGAACAAATAGAGCAATTGCATATAGGTAATTATGATGAGTAACATGGGCAGTATCAGTGACTAGTTTTCTCTAGTACAGTTTTCTCTTTGATTGAAAGAGATATCTCTTAAAGAACAACGGTAAAAATCTAATCAAGAACCTTACTTTCGGAAACAAACGTCATTTAGTTCATGTCAGCATTTACTAAAGTTGTGGAGCCGGAGATGCAGCGAGAGATCGATTGCCGCTATTTATCCGCTGTTGCAGCTTTCCGATCGTATCGGACTGAATGCGGTGACTTGCGAGATGAAGTGCAAAAGGCTCTAGATCAGCTTGAATTATTACAGACGGACTACAAGTTTGTCACCAACAAAACAGGTAAGACCGTATCAAGATTGCTGCTTGTAAGAATATATCGTAGTGAACAGGTAGATGTTATTCTAAAAGCAGCTCGTCGATATACGAAATTTTGGGTGTAATTTTTGTCATAAGTTTTTCTGAAGTTTAATTCAAGTGTTTCCACTTAGTGGTATTGTTCGCTTTCGCATGCACAAAAGATTGGCTTGGCGTCGGAAACAATATATTTCAAGTATACTGCGTTTACTTTTTTTAATACCGTTTAATTAGCGCATTTTTTTCTGACGCCTATAGAAAACGTTGCATTTTCATTTTTCATCAGTCATAATATTAATAATAGTAAACTTAATATTCTTTTGTATTAGGAGCGTTACACTGTGAATGTGAGTCTCTACTGTCAGAACAGTCGAAATTGGCGGGAGTGTCAGAAGCTATCCAGTCTAAACTCCGTCATTTCGTCGAACTCGAAGCGCTCCAGCAGAAACTTCATGCTCCATCGCTCACAGTCCTAAGTGACGGTTTTATTCCGTTACTAACCCGTATTGACGAGTGTCTCGTATTTCTTGAGAATCATGTACGTTGCCATAAGTGGTAAAGAAGTAATCAGTTATCAATTGTTGGTTTGTAACAATAAGCATATTATATGTATTAATGCGTACCTGTTGGTTGACTAATAAATAGTACGATAATAACAATAGCAGCAGCAACAACAGCAACGATATTAGGAATTATGTAACATAATGTATTCATCCATTCAATCATATTCACTTACAGCCCGAATATAAAGAATCGGCAGCCTATGTCATCCGCTATCGGCATCTTCAATCGAACGCTTTGGGCATGATTAAGGCCTATGTATCGTCGACACTTGAGCAAAGCGCTCGCCAAGTACAGGCCGCTTCTCAACGCAGCGCTCAGGCAAACCCCGAACTAGATACATTCACCCTTCTCTATGTAAAATTCAAGAGCCACGCTCCCCGTATTAAGAGTTTGACGGCTCAGATTGAAGAACGTATGGCGCCGTCAAAACTGCTATACAGTGATATCCTTGAAGAAGTACAAAACAGTTATTTCGCGCAAAGAAATCTTCTACTGGCCCAGAGTTTGGATCAAGCCATACAAGATCTCAAAGAAAAGCACCCGAAGGATCATTGTTCATTCCTTCGACAGAGTGCTTCCCTCCTAGCAAGACTGTGCCACGACGAGACCCAGCTCTATTACCAGTTCTTCTCTAAGTGAGTATCACCGTGTAACAAATGATCTTGCTGGAGTTTTGCTAGTGCAAGTTAATCGCTTGAGTAGAAAGTATGTCATAATTGCGTTGCTCGAATGTCATAGGACAGTCGCATTTCATTAGAAATAGTTATATTTTACTTATTAAAATGTTACAAGCGAACTCGGTGGGATTTGAAATTGAATCACTTTTGAACTAGTTGGTTCAGGATGGTGATTTAATGTGTTAGCGGTACTACAAACACATTCCAGCATTTCAGCAGATTTTGGTCAGCCATGTACCAACCATTCTCGTATATAATTTTTGTATCTCTGGCTTCTCGAAACAAGTCGATAATAGGATATGCTTGCACACCAGTTGCCCTTTTCAGAACATGGAAAACTGCGTAATTACACATACTTAGAACGAGAAAATAGGCGAGTAAAGGCTAACCTTGGATTTTTCTTTTCTCAATCCAGTAAATAATTGAAACATAGCAACGAAGTCTAGCATTGTTATCGAGTAATCAGAGTGCATGGTTTCGATTGCTATGCTAACGGTCCATGTGTTTCTTGAAACACACAAGAAATTTGGCTACATTCATTATTTTTTTGCGTGTGTAGCAGATGAGCCTGGTGTCCGTTGTATGTACTACCACCACTTGACGTCTATACCTATTCGATACTGCTACCAAACCGGGTTTCTCTCAGGGCGAAGCCATTCTCTTTCTGGTAGAAAGTAAAGCACGCTTTTTCTATGGTCACCACATGCTGGAGGGAAAGGGGGAGGGTCTCTTGATTAGCGTTCATTGATTTGACAGGAAATACATCACACCCATTTTTAACTGGCTCGAGGTCGATACATCGGGCACCTCTTTTTACTTAGTTTTCGTATTTTTTTTTTCTAGTATTCCGGTTATAGTTTTCTTAGACGTTTTTGGGTGAATTGTTAATTTTGACCAACACAATCTTTAGAGCCTGTGATCACGCTTAAGCGCTCTGGCCTGCAAGAAATAAAAACTCGACCACTAAGCATCGATTTTCAAAACTAATTCTTTGGACTATTTTTTCCAAAGTGAACTCAATTTTCACTTACGAGTTTCCAAGAAACTGAAATATTTACCAGTCAAATTTCGTTGGCAAGCGGTGCGTAGTTCGGAAGTTATTCAATTTCTAAGCCCGCCGGATCCGGTTGTAGCGGTTTAATTTCCAAACTATGGTTTTGATAGCGACAGTCATTCGTGTTTATAATTGTTCTTCTTTCCCTCCTAAATCTTTAGGTCCAATTCAGCCCTGGACGATTTTCTTTCGTCATTATGCGCTAAGTTGTATGATGCTTTCCGGCCAATTATCGTTCATGTGCTTCACCTCGAAACCCTATCGGAGCTATGCTCGATTCTAAAACAAGAGGAGTCAGCTACGGATGTGCGTGCGTTTAAAGAATGCCTTCGAGCTATGCTACAGGATGTACAGGAGCGGTTGGTATTTCGTACGCTGGTATACATTCGAACTGATATTTTAGGTTACAATGCAGCCGCAGGAGACCTTGCCTACCCGGAAAAACTCGAAATGATGCAAACGATAGCTGAAACTTTAGCGGGTGCTCCGCCTTCTCTTAGCCGGAGTTCTTCGAGGTGAGTTCGAGCTACCGTTAAATTTGTCCTATACATATGACTGTGTATGAGATATCTCAGATTTGTTTCCATTGCCGTTAAAGTCTATCAATTAATTTGATACCTATCTAGTAATAGTTATATTTCTAAGATTTTCTGCGTTTTGGTAGAGCTTCATTAGCGTCTGAAAGTGCAGTGTCTTCCGCTGGCGAAGCAAAACGGCGACACTCGTCTGTGTCAGGTGCGGCAGCTTGCCCGGCTGATATTCACGGGATGTGGTATCCAACCGTGCGTCGAACTCTGCTTTGCCTTTCGAAACTTTATCGCTGTCTAGACGTAAGTTGATCAATTAATACATGTGAAAATGTTGGTAGCAGCTGTAAATATTCTTTGAATTCACTTTCGAGAACGGTAACTATTTAGGTATGCTTTCTTGTAGCTTTGGCATAGATTTCCACACTGTAGGCTTAAATTTTAATGTTTGAATATGTTGAAACGATAATCAAGTCGGCATGTTGTGCTTCATTATAATAAAGCTTACAGTTAACATTGTTCCACACATTAAGTTGTGTATAGAACTCTTTGTAGAAGTATTTGTATTGATAACTGGGAAGAACTGTATGTAATTCAAAAAAGTTGTAATGTCCATTTTTCTATTCGGTGATTTTGCCGATTTAAAAGAGTATATCTGAGTTTCTGGCTGACACGGATCCAATACTTATTTAATTATTGAGACTACACGTCAAGTGTACATTTTACTTATTTAGTAACTGATTCTCATTCGGCTCTTCCGCTCTCGTTGTTTTCAGAAATCAATCTTTCAAGGGCTGTCGCAAGAGGTTCTGGCCATGTGCATTGAGTCATTAGTACTAGCCGCTGACTCCATCTCGAAACGTAACAAAACGCCGCTACACGGACGGCTGTTTGAAATAAAACATCTACTTATTTTGCGGGAACAAATTGCGCCCTTTCAGATCGATTTTGCCATTAAGGAAACGTCGCTAGACTTCACTCGAATTCGGGATGCTGCACTAAGTCTAATGAATAACAAAAATCGGCTGTTTTCTCTGGGAACGAACAATGCCCTTCTTGAATTCCTGTTCGAAGGAACACCGCAGGTAGAATGACATAGATTACGTTACCTTATTTACTTGGTCTTCAAATTTATAAAAATTTGTTAAGATTTATTCAGAGAAGATATGTACTATTACTTTCTTTTATTACAAGAAGTATTTTAATATTTGACATTCTATAATACTCAGTACACCATAAGGTGAACGTCACATGTACGTATTTATACTTTAATACCTGAACGTCACGTATACCGTTAACAGAACAGGGTTTCTCAACGAGTTCTTTTTTATGCCCTGCGTTGTGTACAGGTTAAAGAGAATTTGATCGATTCAAAGAAGGCTGTTGATAAGCAACTCAAGTTCGTGTGCGAACGATTCATTGATGAAGTTAGCAGTCATCTGATTGGTTCTGAACTCCGCTCATACCTCGATCGCTGTCTTGTTATTACGGCCCAGAACGACCCGAACATCATTCTTAAGAAGCAGCCGTTTGCGGAACCCTCAGCCGCGTCCAAGATAGTCTCCGCGGCCTATCGTGATCTAAAAGAACGTCTTGCACGTCTTCAAAAGGCTATGAGCCTTTATTTAGCCAATAGGGATACGGAAGCTATACTTTTTAAGCCGATAAAAAGTAAAACTGTCGTTTTCTATGAGAAGCTAAACAAGATGTTCGAGGATAACTATACGCAGGATGACCTCATGATCATCGCCTGCCCCAGCGCTGAACAGATTTCGATGCGTATGAGCCAGTTATAGGTGACTGCGTGAATTAAACGCATTATTAATCAATATTCATTTCTTCAAGTTTTACTCAATCCGCAATAAGGGATGAAAAAATGAGACGAGGTGTGTAGTGCTGTTAAGTGGAATATCTAAAGGCAGTAATAATATAAAAAAAATAAAAATCGAATACTTGGTCTGCCCCTATTTTTCTTGAGGGATTTCTATCCATTGCTGAAAATGTGCCTGTTTAAAATACATGAAAGGTTATGCTATATAGGAGTCATGCTAAGATACCCAATATGATACCTATTGGAAATACACACCATTCTGGATGGATGGAGAATTGTATTAGTATTTCTTTTTATTAATTCACTCATTTACGTACGAGTTCTTACATGCTTGAGTCTATCAGTGAACAAACAACCAGCTATCTACCGATTCACTCAGTCATTCATTGGATTAACGCATTTACCATGTGGTATTATGGTATTGTGCTTTATGTATGACAGTTTCCACAAATCGAACTTTTCTCTCACATGTCTATTCCCTCTTAATGGTCTGTAGTTATTATTGTAGCTATCGCTGTTCGTGTGATGTGAAAACGTCTTCTTTGTCAATTTGCCAATGTTGAAAATTTGTGGCAAAAGTTTATGGTTTCCCGTATCGACTCTGTCTATCTATGTATATTATCAGTTTATCTGGCACCTTGTCGCGTTACAGTCTTTCCGTCGTCGTCGTCGCCCAACGATATCGTCAACGCCAAGACACTAACAATACCTAGAACTTTTGCATAATTATCGTGGGCCGCACACACTGTATGCTCAGCATTATTGTCATTTCATTATGTTATATGCCTCGTCACTGAGTATTCGTTGCTTGTTAGGACCGGCGCATGACTCAAAGGGGATCGCCAAACTTCGGGACCATTGCTGATTTGAAAAAATCGAACGTGTAGATTGTGCCGCTTGAAAGCGTAAAAAAAACAGCCACGTATAAAATCGTGCACACGGGCCGAACAGTGCTTACAGCTATTTCCAAAAATTACACCGTAAAAGTTCAAGCGTAAATATATTCTCCATTTAAGACCTTTCCTCTGACATGAGCCAGCAGATTAAGCAAACTTCTCTAGTTCTTCATGGTCTCCTTTGCATTTGGCTTCCATCTTTCAGGCGGAGTCACTCGTCCATTCAGTTACACACACCGAACGTTAATCTCATTCGAGAGATCGGGACGCTGTGGACTAATTTACGACGGTGACACATTTTTTATTAAATTTAATCGTTGCGATACTACTAATTGACCATTAAAAAAATACTGGAGTGTACGTTGAACACTGCATTGTTCAAAATCGATGTCCCTATCTTCCGTATTCACTTCATATGCATTGGTCGAACATTTACTTAAAGTACAGTTGGTGATTATCGAGTCACGACGAGGCAAATCAGCGTTAACATTGAACCTGGCTTGTTTTTTGCCCATGTGTTTTTTTTCGTCTACAATAGTTCGCTTCCGATTTTAGGGTGAAGGTTCTAATTATACTGCAGCGATGACTTCTGGGGCCCTTTATCTATAGTAAGAAAGAATGTTCGATGGGAAAGTTATTTATTTCAAATTAAAGTAATAAAAAGTTATGCTATTGTAAACATGTACACCATTCGCTCTTTTATATAGCCGATAATAATATTAAAGGAGCTTGATCTAACAGTGATGAACGAGATGTTGTAGCCAGCTTGTATCATTATTTTTAGTATCATCATTAATATTATAGTTTACATTACACTCGTAGACCTATCTAGACTCTCGGCCCTCTTCAATCTAACGAAAAGATGCCAAGGGCTGACTTATAAGCGAGGGTCCGAAACGTCGACGATGTATCCTCGGTGATAGTTTGACTTGATAATCTGGCGTGGAGCGCGGCTGGCTTTTATGATTCAGAACAGTTTCTACGGAATAGAACGAAAAAAAGGATCTGAACTGATGAATACAGGAAAAATGCTGCTCGAACTCCTGGTACTGTACCTTCCCCAAAAAGAATGGACGCAAGGGAGAAGAACGAAGCGTTATAATCGTTTCTTATTCGACGCGCTTTCACAAAATCTGTCTTCCGAATCAGTTGAATCGATGAAAAATTTATGATGTGGTTGTGTCAATCATCAGCTGAGGATCGCCGTCATAATGAGCTCGGGGCCTCTTGGAGTAAGCAATAAATCGCCCAGAAACGATGCTTCTCCCGTCAAGCCTCCAACATAGAGGTCTGGCGGGAATCACACCCATGGAACGGTCTTTTCACACTATGCGATTGTATGGTGAGAGGACAAGTAACTGGATACTAGATTATTCCCACTCTCCGACGTAGACCTCTTTGGGTCCATGCGTGTACGTTGGGGTAGCACCGGCAGAAGATCCACCCGAGCTTGAGCTTTGGGCCGTCGAGTTTTGTCGCAATGGAAGCACACCGTAGATTTTTGAATAGTCATGGTCTGCGCTCTCTGTAAAGATTCAAGGGAGATTGTGTAGATAAATAATTCGGTCAGTACAAAGAATAGACATGTTAAAGTGAGGTAATGTAGGTACCTAACGGTGTCCATAGAATGAAAATGTAGGTGCGAATATTTCGAAGAATCAAACAGGGACACACAATAATACAAACAGGGTAATTTGTGTCTTAATCATTTAATGTACTAATTATAATAAGTCTTTGCCAATAGTTTCTGTATATCGTACATCATGTGTACAAGATTTACATCAATTGTGATACAAGTTTTAGTGTAAAATACATTGCGTTTGACAGCGTTCTACTCACCGTCTCAGGACAGTGTGGACCAGATAGAATGGCTTCATACATTGCGGTTATTGATCGTACAGAAATATGATTTACTTACGGTATAGGCTGTTTTCCCTGTTTTTTGCGGCTCCATATAGCGAATTCAAATAGCTGAATGAATGGTTGGAGGAAGCATACGCATAGATAGCGTCCTTTTGCAGTCGTTCGCGATCGCGGCGTGACATATTGAGCGGGTCACGCTGACCGAAGTTCGACACTCGCGCCTTCAGCCCACAATAGTAAGGGTCGTCGTAGATGCCTGAGGACGACGAGATCTTACGCGCTGGCTGGCGTTCGTTGCCTCCACCTGACCTTTGCATCTGCATATGAACCGGGACGCCAGAATATGAAGTGTCCTCATAATCGGGCTACGGTGTTTCATTGAGTGATCGAATTTTTCGGAAGGCGGAATAGTAGCGACGCAAAAAGCCACAAGGCAGTATAAGCACCGTTCAATATTGCGAGCGCGGCAGGACGGAAAGGCAGTTTTCCGGAACATCACATCGGTTGTGAACGTCGCCAAGACGCACATCAACGCGAAAAGCATGAAAAATAATTTTTAAAAAAAGTATGAAAAAATAGCTGTTTTCATATATTTTTTTCTAGGAAGGACAAAGTGAATATGATATTGTAGTTATATAATATTGAAAGTGGTCTAGAGCTTACAGATTACGTATGGCAACTATCATATCCATTGGAAATAGATTGGCAACTAATGCTTCTGCTATCAGGCGGGGAAAAGTGTCATGGCCAGTGGTTGTGTGATACGATGAGATCGAACATAGTTCTATGAAGCATAACATTTTTCGTAAATAACAGGTTAGCGTCAATTTAATGAACAGTGGGGATCCTTCTGAACTAATACATATTTTATATCTTCCGTGCTTAATATAGACTGTCGAATGAATAGGAAAAATGTTTTGTAAGATTACATGAAGACTGAAATCTACTGATATAGCATATTTCACTAACCCAACAGTTGTAATGGCGGGAAAATTAAATTTGCTTATAAAATACAAATGTGTTATTTTTTGCAAGTTGTCTCAACAGCGCGGTCAAAACAGACATCGAGTATTAAACGATGCTAAATAAATTCGTGATTTCGTGAGCAACCGCTGTAAACAAGAAATTAGTAGATAAATGCAGCTGCTGCTAAGAAGATTTAATTGTGCTGGCTGATGATTATTTAATCGAAATTAATAATCATTAATTCTGAAACATTTCTGTGTTGAATACGTTTGCTTATGTGATGTGATATGCATGTATGCATACAGATTAGGCTTCTATTTTTTCAATTTAATTTTTTCCAGCTGTGTTAACGGCCTAAATATTAATCTCGCATGTCAGTGGCTCTGTAATTATTTTAAAGTATAATTTAGCTGAAAAAAGTAGGCAAAGCAAGTATTGCATAGCGAGTCCATTGTGGATCGTTTACACTATGCTTTGAGTTTCAGATTAGCAAGCCTTACCATTGTTGAATGTTAGCGATTCGATCTTGCCGTTATCGTATAAATAACAAATTTAAACAATGAATATTAATTCATCATAACGTTAACAATAGGGTCATTATCTGTGGACAACAAATATATACTGAGGAGATTATCAGGATCGTCAGACGCCGTGTACGCCAAAATAAGCTCTTCGCTGGTTGGTGATTTTCTTAAACGTACAATACGATTATCCAGCATCTAAGGCAGGCAATTTGATTGTTAGTAAACGAGCAGTCATTGAATTACTCAGTAATTTATACTCACATATAATACAAATAGCAAAGAACAGAGCCATATTCAGCACAATGTCAACGACTGCAGCCAATGATCTGAGATAGTGCGAGACCATCAATTCGGTTTAGGGCGGGGACCCGATCATACTGCTAAGACACACGCGAACTAGATTGAGTAATGAGTGTATGTACAGCATCAGAGCATTCCTTAACAAACAATATTGGCTAAAATGTTAAAGAGTTAAATAGTGATTGAGTATGCTAAATCTCGCTAGCCACCGTTTCGTCGAGACTACGATAGTGGCAGAGGCAAGTGTTGGCCAGCCAGTGCATCTTTCATCAGTTGAAATAACAAATGTACATTCACAGGCAATTATATATACACGTGCGTATTGCTTTCAGAAGGTTAATTGGCTATGGCTTGTGTGTTGACTACACCGGAGATTCAGTTGCCGTCAACCGCTGTTGCGAATCTGTCAAACATCGGAGTGTGAAACAGGCCAGGCAGGAAGATGCTCATGAAGGTCAAAGGGCAGATGAGGCAATTTGATGAGTTGGGCAGGCATGAAGTTGTTGAGGATTATCATGCAGAGAAAGGGAACTGAGGCTGTCGTACGTATGTGCTAGCTCAGCTAGTAGCTTGTAAGCACTGCTGATCTGGGATGGGATGAACTTATTGCTACTATTGTTGTCGAACCGGTATCATAGTAGCGTGGCGTACAGCAGCGATTTCAAGATTCTAACTATAATTGGAACTGGTAACTGACCTGAGGAGTACTTACGCGGGGCACCCGAGGTCGCTTATCCCGGGGCGGTAACTTAGGTGGACGGGGTTCGCGGTGGTCACGTTTCGCATGTGAGGCATGACCGCCTGATGATCCCGACGATGACGCGCCACCCGGCAGAGCCGTATAGGGATCTTCCAGGTCGTCCTTTGATCGACCTTCGCCATCTCGCGAATCAAAGATCGACATCAGGTTTGGAGCACTCTGCCGCTTCGTTGCTGCGGGAACAGCGTACTGAGCTGTAGCAACAGATAGAGAGGCACAAAATCCAAAGAGGTTAAAAGAAAATTAATAACCGATCAGGGGGTTCTCTTGGCGCACGCTGATCAAACTCTAGGTTTCAAACCCGTAGCTTAAAGAAGTCATTCCAACCAATAAACAGTGTGTTTATGAAATCATGTTGCTTACTGATGCGTGTCGTGCACATATGCGTACTGGCAGAATAGAGCTAGAGATTTTCAGAGGCGACACCTGTATATGCAACACATATATATACAGGTGTCTCCTACCAGGTGTATATACCAATCGTAATTGAATAAGTTTCCAGAACGTAATTTAGCAAGAGTAATGTATTTAGATCATATAGATATTATATAGACACGTTATATGATAAGCAATACCGATTCTGTCCGCAACAGCCGATTGTCATCAAATATATAGCATATCAAAGAAAGATCTCAAATAAAGAAAATTAGTTGAGTGAAGTATCGACAGATCCATTTAAAGGAGTCAAGGAAAAGCTGGAGTAACTATACTTAAATGCTAGCTAATGCAGGATCTTGCTTGGATCGACGCAAAATGGTTCAAATAATACCTATTAATTTATAAATGATATCTTACGAGGCAGTTTGCTCTTGAGCATATCGAGGGCAACAATATTGATCACCATAACCCAAACAGGAACCTGCAGGACATCGGATGAGTCACGGACGAACGAAATACAAGAGACACACTGTGCTTCGAGGGTGCGCCTGTCGGGATAGGCTCTACAAAGAAAAAGAATGGAAGTTATGTAATTTTAGGCAATTTTTATTTAATAAAACTTTTATTTAAGGTTATTTATTATGCCTAGGGAAAAAAGTTCCACTTAAGGGGTTCACAAAAAGCAAAGGGCCTTTTTACGTTAATTTCGTTTTTTTTGCTTATTGAGAACCTCTATTTGAACTAAGTAGCCTGAACACTTTTACCACCACCACCACCCCAGTTGCACCACGGAAGATGACCATCCGTGATGTATGATATTATCAGCCGTTGTAATCTCTTCTTGCCAACGTTAACAAAAATCATGAGTAGAAGATTACAAGAAGAATCGAGATTATAAACAGATTCGAGCCAATTGCAAAACCTCTGTTTAGACTCGTTGCTTTTTTTAACTGTTATTTGCCGACTGGTTAGCTGGTTAACCTACCGTTTCATTTCACGGATGACATTAGCTCGAAATTTGTCCATATCGAAGAGTTTCACCGGTTTGTCGAAGTCAAGATGTCCGCGACTATCGATGACTTCTTTCGAAATGGCCGAGCTTTCTCCATGCTGGACGCTATTGACGAAGATGGAGCTTTTCGAGATTCGCTTGATCACGATATTTCCAGAAGCGTCCATTGTTATCCGTGCACCCTGTACAATTAACAATAAAGTGTTATGAACAATGCAAGCTGGGCAACCAATGGAGTAGCTGCAAGTAGACGCACCGCAGTTATTCATTTTCATGGATATACCGTCATGGATTAATAGGGCAAATTGAATACACTCCAGTGTTTCTACTACATTTTTAATTATTATTCAAGGAGTTAGCTTGCCGACAATGTTATAGAAGCGACAAAAAGATCGGATTCTGTTTGACTCGCTATGATTATCTTAGGATTACCCGATTAAACCTTTACCTCATAGTTTTATTAACGGAGGAAGGCGTAGAGCATGAAGGCAGATATCAGTTGATTCCTACCAGCGATTGTTAATGTCTAGTGAATACAAGATGAAATGGTTGGGAAAGAAATTTAATTAATTAATTATTAATTAATTCTCTTTGTCGACATTGGTTCAAAAGGCTATTGTATCGCATTCAATGGTATTAACTAAAAAACTTTGGTGTCTGAAAAGTTAGTTTCGTCGGTGACTTATATTTTGCTATTTTATAGCAGTTCTTAAGAACTGCTTTTTGATCCGTATAAGACAATAATTAATAGATATTCTAATTAATGAAGTCTGAGAACTTATTATGGGTTACGCACAAATGAAAGCGAAAACTGGGCCCACTGGGCAAAAAACTACGAAAGTAACTTATATGGGACCACTTCGCGAAGTTGTGTCCGGTCTATTTTACCTTCTGTCTTTATAATTACCTTGACCTCACGTCGATGTCGTGTGCTTTACGTTCCAGCATGGGTTCACAGCTATATACAGCTCATCGATATCGACCATCATCAGTGGTATTAACGGTCTATCGATTGAAGTACAAATTAATAAATAGAAAAACTCTACGCTGCTGTCTTTAGTGATATGATACCGAAAAGGGGGCTTATTTAAGATGAAAATGACTAGTTAAAGTAGTAACGAGCAGCACCGAGTAAATCTCCAGTGTATCCGTCATCTGCACTGACTGTGCCCAGGGTCGCAGATTCGTTAAATTTTTACTCATCAAAGAGCAGAGAGCAAGTTAAAAATTGAAGGCTCTGATCAATTTTCATTATTGATATACATTTCGTGTGAGTAATTTTTTTCGATTATTTAGGAGATTAGGGGAGTATAATGTAGTGAATTTTCTGGAGCGCGGTCAGTCCCCAACAAGTTGAGATATACCGAAATGGTTTAACAGCCTGCACTAAGAAAGCTATATCCTTCTTTACTTTGTCATGCTCAATTCTACGAATGTTACTGTTATTTGTTTTCTATTGCATTTGGTGATTATTCCTCTTTTGTTATTGCTTATTTCGATAGATAGATACTTCTGATAGATCAAATGCTACTATCGTTACGAGTTTGTGAGCTCTTTTCGCGTCTCCACAAGGGTATACTAGGCATTTAACTTGCTTCACTTAGCAGGGTAGTAACAGATGCAGATACCTTTATATCTACTTCATATTAACACGACCTTGCAACACTTCTGATGATAGTGTTGAAATTCAGAATTCAGGGCTCCGTTCAACACACAATGGCTTGTGCTGTCTCTAGGCAAACGCAGCCTATATTAGATGTTAAAATCGTAGCTCTGTGAGGCAGAATTTGGAGCATCTCAACGCATATAGTCTCACTCGTAAATCATTGCGACGTAACGTGAAGCAAAACTCTTTTATTTGTTTGGTAGCTTCATGTGCCGTTTGTGAAAGTAGGAAAAAATAAAAGGGAAAGCAGAAAAGCCGGGTACCACGACAGACATCGGTGAGAAGATAACAACGTTTAGTTACTCAGCGAACCTAGTAATAGCCTACGAGCTATCGGCGAAGTACAGTGTCATTCGCGCAAATCTATCGGTACAAATTGCATTATGACTATTGCTACAGCTGCTGCTGCTACTAAGACTAAGATGGAATCGGAAGTGCCTGCGCATTATGCCTGGTGCAGATTTTTCTACTTAAAAAAATATTTCGTTTCCTTCAAATTTTCGCGCGGTTTATGGCGTGCTTTGCAGTGAGCTCGCCGAAAGTGTATAGCGGGTCAACGGGTTTTCTTCCCTTCCTTGTAGAAATGTTCACTAGCAGATCGCAAGCCGGAAAAACCGTATGGTGACTTTTATCGTCAACGGCTACTGCTAGATAACAGTCTACAGTAATGTTTATATTGGCATGTATTACAGCTGGGTATTGAATACCAGCAGAATATTGTTAGACAAATATTAGATCAACACTAGTGGAAAAGGCCGATATAGTACATTTGAATTCGATGTGCCTTAACGTTATAAGCTGATTTGTGATTCTTGACCTTATATGCAAAGGATTAGTGCCTGACTAAGAAGGCATTCCTATTAATTTTTCTCAATAACACCTGCCTAAAGCAAATATCAGTTCGCATCCACGAGCTTTGCTTGAAAGGTAATTTGTCAGTATATAGCGTAATGTGGCGTAGACAACTAGGTCCCTGGCTTTAAATCCAGAAAACGCTGGTTAAGATTCTTTTCTGTGTGAGTTTTTATATACACGATCGGCGTGGAATAACATACTTCTCACAGACGAAAAATGACCTTCATTGACGGCAAAAAACCCTTAGGCGCTGAAGATCATTGGAGAGATTCGATTTCACAGTGTCGTGTGAAACATTATTTTACCTAAACGCTCTGATTCTGGCAAGGCTCAAGATAAACGCTCAAGGTAGCGTGCATCTTTGTAGATATAAAGCACATAACACGTTAATTAAAATTGGCCCTTTGCCGATTGTGGCCTCGAAGTAATAACGAAAACAATGATGGCAAGATCCAATAACGGGAAAAACGTATCGATGATTTTGCTTCAGGACGGTCGCAACCATTGTGCTTTTTTGTTTTGATCGGGCGTGGCGTATTTTTCTTTATTACTAAAAAGCTAACTAAAATATTGTCGGCATTTGCATATGCGAAAGTTGTTGGGCTGCCATAGCAATACGGCGATGCATAGGTAATCTATATTACTACGTTAATTTTGCAAGCAGCACGATCAGCGACATTACCAATGTCCCAACCGCTAACAGGACTGCGTACGACTGGCGTAATGCGCGACGTCCAAGTGCAGATCGGGGGTCAATAAATAAACGAGGGAAACCTCTTACCGCTACACCCTGTCGCGTACCTATCACAGTCATGACGAAGAAAACACTTTTATTCAGCAGTGGACGGCATCTGTTGCTCAAACTACAAGTGAATCACGGCCGGAAAGCACCGACTGTGCCTAATTCCCCCTCGCTTCCACGAGGTCAGTTTCGATTATCGATGATTACGTAATTTCGCCCGTCCAGGCTCCTGCCTGCCTGCCTGCCTCTGCGGCTACCGACAGTGCGTTCTAGTTTGTCCGTTCGGCTTTACCGGTACGTGCGCCAAAAAAAGATCTTAAGGAAGAAGAAATTCAAAGAACACCCAACAAGGGTGAAAAAAATCTAGAAAAAAAGGGACGACTTAGAACCCGAAACCCGTGTTCATGCTGTGCCTACGGTATCCATTGCTTATCAGCGCGTTAACCATTTTTTGATGGTGCTACCGACGGTATTGGCCACAGTCGCGCCACGTAGACCAGACCATCAACGTCATCCTGCCACCCGCATTGCATTACTCTGTTGGCGCTTCTATTGCATCAGCCATTCGATCACCAGCGCCTCCGTCACCAACCCAGCTATTGCTGCTGCTCGAATCTCATCGTTGATATGTCTATTGAAGTGAGGTCTGTATCGTACCGGTCGTTGCTTATTGGTTGGATCTCCAAGGAACTGATAGTTGACGACCTATAAAAAGCGCTGCGGGTTGAGAGGAGACTTCGCCGTTGGTTTTACGGCAGCGGCGGTTACAACGGAAACAAATGAACGATTCGGGGGCTCCGACGGTACGCCACTGTCTAGTTAACGTAACCGTAGGGTGACCGGCGAAGTCGAGATGCAAATAGGAAATGGGCATGATAACAGTAGTGGACAAAGCGGCTATGAAACGCGTAGGAAAAATATTGAAACGGAAGAGAATATGACGCTGCCAAAGGAAAGGCGGCGACGATTCTAGCCACTGGGAGGTAATAGGACAGAGCTGTAGTAGACCGTAGCGGATTGCAGTGGAAATATTTCGTATATAATTGCCACTATATTAACAAGGAGGGTTACTATTCACCGCCTCATGGCTGATACTGACCGGCATATTGTGCACAGGACTGCAGGCGGATTCTGTAAACGTATGCTCAATAATGTGCTCGTAGGGCGCAGATCTGTGGCTTCTGCTTAAAATAAGACTGCTATTTTCAGCTCAGTGGTTCCAATAAGAAGAAGGCGTAATGCCAGAAAGTCGTTGAAGTGAATCAAAAGACAGATTGTTCATTAGTGGACAGAGAGACACAGTCGAACTTGAAATAAAACATCTAGGCAAAACGCATTGTGCAATTACGTACCTGAATGCCGACACCCTTCAGCTTTTGCGTTATATCTTCGCATACGAACATCATTTGGAAGTCGATCTCATTATGTTAGATAATTCTCACGCTGCTTTTTCAAGTAGAAAGAGCTTTAACACTAACTTGGGTAGCGCTGATCACAAAATGGTCATAATATAACGGTGGCCACCTTGTTTCCGACGAAGTCGAAAGATCTGTATCGACAAACAAAGGACATTACCATCGTATTGACAGATTTCCTGTCAATTCACCACTCAGGACGCATAGAATATCTCAAATGTAACGTCAATATTCTGGTGGTGATCATCAGGTGTTGATTGAGGAACGGTTGTCCATTTTTATTTGCAATGGCGCGCCATACATTCTAGGTCTCTTAACAGTGGAATGGCAGAAGACAATGCATCAGTAGAATCATCTCGTAATAGTTATAGTAAAGCCATTCCGCAGACAATGTGATCTGCCGCTGATGCGCGTATGAATGACTGTACGCAGAAAGTTATGAGACAACGAGGGCTGGGGCCTTTCATCAGGTTTTCCCCTCTAATATTTGTGTTCTAAACTGTG